GGGGGGGGGGGGCTGATATTCATATATTCGTGTTCTGCCCAATTAATTTCTTTTGAAATGGATTGTTTTTACAGTCTGTGATTACGAATGTATGAATATCTGCCCCCGCTATTATCGATATTCCGGCGCCTCTGGAGAAGAGTGCTTCCAGTTTGACTCTACCAAAGCCTGCATTCTTTTACTGGGTACTACATTTTCCTCCTGTAGTAACACTGGATCAATAAGAGATGATCCTTGATAGAGCTATCCAGTGTAAATAAAGTTAGTGTAGTTTAGGTTTCCTCCTGTAGTAACACTGGATCAATAAAAGATGATCCTCACTGGACCTCTAGGAAGAACAGTTTAGAAGTGATAGAGCTATTCAGTATAAATAAAGTTAGCTTAGTTTAGTTTTCCTCCTGTGGTAACACTGGATCAATAAGAGATGATCCTTACTGGACCTCTAGGGAGAACAGTTTAAAACTGGTAGAGCTATCCAGTATAAATAAAGATAGTTTAGGTTTCCTCGTGTAGTAACACTGGATCAATAAGAGATTACACTCACTGGACCTCTAGGGAGAACGGTTTAGAACTAATAGAGCTATCCAGTATAAAAGTATAAATAAAGTCAGCATGTTTCAACTGCAATCCCACATGCTTTATATTACTGCGAGATAATAAATCCTTATACCGTTCTTCGTTTAAATTAACCCTGGGTTTAAATGCTCGTTTTTTCTTCTTCTTTTCTGCGCTATCTTGTGTCTGATCGCCATCAACATTATCCTGTAGGTTTATCTCTTGCCCAGCTATGTCGGCAGGATCCTCTTCAAGGATCAAGTCGTTCAATGGCGGGGGTATAGCGAACGGATCGTCAGCTTCTGCATCGAAATTGAACGCGTCGCCATTGCCATTTACTTCCATTTGATCCATAATGGTTGTAAAGTCTTTTAAAGATTAGATAATTCACGTACTTTGGAGAGAATTGGGTTTTGTTTACAATCTTCTCGATATTCCCGCGCAAACCCGCGAAAATTTTTTGACCAAACACTGAGCGCTATGTTTATCTGAAGTGAGCTATACAAGTAAACCACAGCAAGGCCAATAATCAAAATTTTCAAAACTCGGGTTATTCATGACATTATAGGATGTTTTTAATGAATATTCGTAATTAATTGCCGTAATTAATTGTCTTTATATTGCATAGTGAAGTCCTCTTCATTTTGGTTTTAGAAGACACCATTTGTTATTGCAAAGCTTTTGGGTTCACAGATCGCAAACATTGCAGTTATAATAAACGTGCGTTTTCCACAAATATTGTCATACAAACATACAAAAAATTTATTACTAAAAATCAGCTAATGTCATCCATCTGTTTATATACAAGCTATTGCCAGGCTATCGTCAGTGATCTGTGAATTTAACAGTATATTTATGATTTTGAGTGTCTAACACAGTTCTTAGGTAGTCTCGTCAACCCAGTCTGACGAATCGTTGGGACCATCACATGAGGCTGCTTGTCCATCATTGCTCGTGTTAATTCTTGATAAAAACGCTTCTAACAGTTTCTTGTTGAGGTGGTCAGTTTGTGTTGGTTCTCGAGTGTTAGCTTCCTCTGAATTGTTGTCGGCTGTTTCGGTAATGACGTCATCTTGTTCACCATCATTATCCACCTGCATCTCACTGGTATCAGTTACCACCGCTGCACTATCACCTGCCGTCCCCAAACGTTTTTTATTGACCATCAGTGCTTTTAAACTCTGACCTCCAACAAAAGTGAATTAAAGCTTCCAAACTCTTTAATTTACCTCTGGTAGTTATAGAGTGTCTGAAGTAATTCCTGGTATAGGACAATAAAGGTTTAAAATAGAAAAGAGTTAATTTTATGTCAAACCAAAATTACCATATAGACTTTTGATGAGCTCGGTGACGTCGGCATATAATCGGGTTCAGTTCGTAGGTATACGGTCATATATTTGAACGCCAATTTTCGGGAAAATTTCTTTAAAAAAAGACTATATATATTTAATTTTAGATAGTAACAATATCCTATACTGTCTGTATTTTATTTTCATGTGTAAAGTTCTTGCAAGAAAGCTTTTGGGGGCAAATTTAGAACTGAAAAATCATGCATTTTTATTTTGTCACTTACGGAGATTTCCGATGATGTTTCCGAGGCGAGGCGGTTTCAAAATGGCGACTCAATGATGTACAAAAATACAAATTTTATAAAATAATCATCGTTTTCTCTCCAGTTTATTAGTTGTTTTCAGCTGAAATTATGCCTAAGAAGTTCCAGGGAACAAACACGAAAGCCGAGGCGGCCAGAGCACGAAAAAGCGAGACAAAAAATGCCGAAAAAGCGCGAAAAGAGAAAGATACTGCGGACAAATATTGGGAAAGCTGGGAGTCTGCGGATCGGAATGAAAACAAAAAGAAAGAAAGAAAAGTGCGTTGTTTTTATTTGTTTATTTATGTATTTAAATCATTTCAAATAAAAATCTATAAATGATATTAAAAGGTTGAAAGGAGTGCCCTCCTCCCCCTGAATTTACATCATCAAACAATTGGTATGACACCACACCACAGAATAGAGACCTTACAGAAGGCTGACTGAGCCAATAAAGCCTAACCGTCGCCACATGATTTGTTAGGAACATGGCAAGTGCATTTTAATGAGTGTGCTTATGAGAGGCAGTCACCCCCCTGAACATCCACTATTTTTTAAATATTTTCAGGGGGGTGAGTGCCTCTTATAAGAAGATTCTGTGATGACACAGAGCGGCTAGGCAATCGAAAACTTTAAACATTGTCGCAAAGTTTTACATAAAAATAAACAATGTTTTTGTTTGCAAATTTCATTTTCTTAGGAAGACAAGGAGAGAAAACGATTGGAACAACTAGAAAAAAAACGAGCAGCGAAAGAACTTTTGGAAGCTGAGGAATCAAAACAGAAAGGCAAGACAACTTCGGCCAAAGTGACGAGATCTGAAATCTCAAGTTTGCAAGAAAAAGAGGCGGAAAAACGCAAAGCTGCAGCAGCGAAACCTGTCAAGAAAAATGTAACAGTTGACGATGCTCCCCCTGAGGAAAATATAAACCACCTGGTTGTGGACACGTTGGCCGCAGAGGGTGGGGTCGAGGCTAGAAATGTTGAAGACGCTATATCTGTTCTGTCTGTCGATGATAAACAAGAGTCACATCCAGAAAAAAGGATGAAAGCAGCGTTTGCTGCGTTTGAGGAAGAAAGACTACCGGCTCTAAAAGCTGAGAACCCTAACATGAGATTATCACAGATCAAGCAAATGCTTCGAAAAGAATGGTTGAAATCTCCAGATAACCCCCTTAATCAAAATTTTGTGGCATATAATAAGTAAAATTATATTACAGGATTTTGCTTGAAATTTAACTAATCACAATTTTGTATTCATGATGGCAAAATTCTTCGCAAGAATTTGTATCTGTTAAATACAGATGGTTGAGTAGAATTAACTTCTACTCACTGGTGAAGTGAAATTATTTTTTTCTCGATTTATCTTTACTGCACATGTATTTTTGCCTTTCAGATCTTTAGAAACAAACTAATGTATACACTCAAGTATATTGTTATATTAGTTTCAACAACTGTTTAACTGTTCACATTTTGGGTATCACTTGATGTTTCCTGTTTCTGCTGACTGTTCTCGATTACATCTACAATTGTCATTCCTGAGCCAGTCGAACCAAATACACAGTCGAGTCGTTTGTTTTTGTCCCACACAATTTCATCACAATACTTGAAGTACTGTATACGATGCTTTGGAATTGCCAGGATGGTTGGATCCACTGACGTAACATCCTCCCAATCGAAAGAATTAAACGAGTTCTCAACGATGCCAAGAAAACGATCCAGATACCCAACTGTGAAATGTTCTGGGTTTAATTTTTCATCCCATTGTATACGGTTTATAACGTCAGTTGCAGTTTTCATTGGCGGCTTTTTTCTCGACTTTTCGCTTTCTACGATGTTGGTTTTTGGTTTTTGTAGTTTGTTTTTAATGTTGTTTGTTTTGTTTTCAAAAGTGTTTGTTGACTCATCTTCAATTGTGTCCTCAGTGGATAATTTATCATGAACGTTGAAACATGTGTCCCCAAATCTGCATTTTCCTTTTAAGAAATATTGACAGATAGTAGCGCCCATTTCCTCAGATTTCTCAATGTTCGTACCATCAAGCCCCTCCAGAATACTGGTATCATCGCCATGCTCAAATATTTTCTCAGCCTCTTTCAACAAGCTCTCTGCGAAATCTCCTTGGCTGAGATCAAGTTTCCGTTTTGTAAGGCACTCCTCCAGAAAATCAAGTCTTTCATTCGACTTGTCGTTAATCACAATGACTTCTGAAAGTTTGTCTGAAGCATTATCTAAATAAAGAAACAACCATTATGCACCATTACTTTCTGCTGCTGCTGCTGCATTCTATTTTTGTTGCTTATTAAAAATTGCAACAGAATAGCATGTATTAACTATATGTAAAGTTGGAAGTTTTTTTACCTGACATTTCATAATACACAGTAAAACCAAAGCTTGATTTCACATGAGGTATATGACCATCACTACTAATATCAGCACTTGCAGATTGTTCTGAATTACAGTCGACAGACGCCATGATAAATAACAATGAAGTCAATTTCAATAAATATTTTGATAAATTCCTACGCTGGCTACGGATTCTAGTTTTGTCACTATATATTTTGAAAGCGTCTATGGCTTCAACATTATATAGCACCAAAACGATCTTAAATTATAAATTTCGTTTGATGGTGCAATATGAAGAATATAAAATAGTTATGACAGACTATATTTTTAATAGATATCAACCGGAAGTAAACAAACCAGAATGTAAACAAATGCCACGAGATTATTGCGTCACTTACCCGCGTGCGGAACTCGCGAGATACCACGAATTGCGCGAGGAGATCACGAATTTGACGCATGCGCCGTAAACGTTTCACGTGAAAGTCTCATTTCTCTCCCAACGTGAACGACTTTTGCTCGGAGGTGACGAGAAAAAGAGCTGTAAAAAATATGCTTTCCAGAGGCCTCAGTTCATCGCTAGTCCGTACTTTAGCAAGAACCTCATTAAGGGTAAGTTACTGCATAGTTTAGAGTTTTTTAACGGAAATTGTGCGGCTCGTATGAGGCAAAATATGAAGACAAATTTTGGCCTTCCTATTTGCCGGCGTGTAAATCAAAACTGACCTCTGCTTTATTCATTTGCTAATATTTTCCGCTTTTCATGTACTCTAAGTAGCCAAGCGGCTTAAATATATGTGTATGCATGTATAGTTTATTTTTAAAGAATTGTATCCAGTTTACACAATATTTAAAAGGTTTAATGCTGGCTAGTTCAGCCTTGTTGCAAGTCGTACATAATTTTTGTATAGTTTAAAGTTGTATATTGTATTTCTTTGTGGTGTATACATTGTACAAACTTGTTGCTTAATGTTTCATACTGCTCTATTTACATATGAAACTAGCTTCAGGAATAAATGCATTAAAAAAGTCTGAAAGGCTGCAATATTAAGACAAATTTCAAGTGCACATGCACAGACTGTATGTTTTGTAATATAAACTTTGTACTTCAGGGGGGCTATTACCATTGAATATAGAGACCATACAGAAAGCCGACTCCGCCAAAATAACGTAACCGTCGGCACGCCATTATTCTCGATGATTTGTTGTCAAAATGCACTTGCCATTGTTCCTAGCCAGTGTACTTATGATAAGCATTCACCCCCCTGAATGTCTGCCCATTTTGAATATTTTCAGGGGGGTGAATGACTGAATGCCTCTTATAAGCACACTGGCTAGGACAGCATTGCAGCGGTTACACCAAAATCATAAGTCCAAGTTAATTTCAAAAGCTATGTCCTAGGTACAAAGTCCTTCCACACACATTTTGCAAATGACACAGTCTTGCAGTAGACCAGATTGAGTGTAAATTCTCCACTAGAACTTTGTGATTTTTGTGGCAGGGTTGTGTAAACAATGTCAAGCCTGCCGTCAGACATCTTAGCACAACCAGCAGATGTTTGGCTGGGCCAGGTACCGCCGAAGTTTCATCAATTCTCGAAGAAAGGATAATTGGCACAGCCACTAAAGCCGAACTAGAAGAAACTGGCCGAGTTCTGTCTATTGGTGATGGTATCGCTCGTGTTTATGGCCTCAATAAAATCCAGGCCGATGAAATGGTGGAATTTTCTAGTGGTTTGAAGGTAAAGATAACATTTTATGCTAAACATTGAAAAAAATTAAAAATTTAGGAAGGAAATGTCAAAGACTGTCATTGATGGAAAGCTAAATTTGAACTAAATCTGACCACAGGGGGAATCGTACCCACAAGTAACTACTTCTGTTGTATCTGTATAATTTACTGATATTTATAAATATGCGATTCTAGGGTATGGCACTTAATTTAGAACCCGACAATGTTGGTGTTGTAGTATTTGGTAACGACAAACTTATCAAAGAAGGTGATGTTGTCAAAAGAACAGGTGCCATTGTAGATGTTCCGGTTGGCGAAGACATTTTAGGGCGTGTTGTGGATGCTTTGGGTAATGCTATCGATGGTAAAGGTCCAATCAACTGTACCGAAAGGTATCGAGTGGGTATTAAGGCGCCTGGTATTATTCCACGTATCTCTGTAAGAGATCCTATGCAGACTGGAATTAAGGCCGTTGATAGCTTGGTTCCAATTGGTCGAGGCCAGCGTGAATTGATCATCGGTGATAAACAGACTGGGTTGGTATATGTAATTGTTGGCCATTAGGCATAAATTTCATTCATCTTGGGTTTTATCTTTTGTTTTATAAAATTTCTATTACACTAATGTCACAATTAACTGTTGTAACTTTATCTTCTTACAACAGAAAAACTGCCATTGCTATTGATACAATTATAAACCAGAAAAGATTCAACGATGGTGCCAATGATAGTAGGTTTTAAATTGCAGTATAATCTAAAAGTTTGGCACTGCTATTAATTTGAAAATGTTTTGTTGTTCAAAAGTCACTGTCTTTTCAAACTAACTTAAAAAGTATTTTGTGTTTATTATCAGAGGAGAAATTATACTGTGTATATGTTGCTATTGGTCAAAAAAGAAGTACTGTCGCCCAGATTATGAAGAGATTAGAAAATGCAGGTAATTATGGAGGAGATGCACAAGATTATTATTGAGCACAAGTTGATCTAGCAGCAGATATTTGGCTATCCTCTCAGGGCATGCTATACATTTCAATTCTAGCATCGTATCCACAAGAAAGCAATTACATATGTTTGCCATTTGCTAAGACTAGATCATAGTCACTAGCAGACAAACCATTTTGTTTTATGTCAAGTATGTTTTATATGACAGTTACAAATCATGCTGAATGTTTGTCTTTTTTATGCAACAGATGCTCTGAAATATACGATTATCGTGAGTGCGACAGCTTCAGATGCAGCCCCGCTGCAATACTTGGCTCCATATTCTGGCTGTGCTATGGGAGAATTCTTCCGAGATAATGGCAAACATGCCTTGATTATTTATGATGATTTATCAAAACAGGTAGGGCAGGGAACGTCATGGATTACTAACTGCTTCTAATGAATGACCTGATTCATGCTACAGATGGAATGCCCATCAGGACACCTCATCCATTATTGTCCATTAGGAATTTTGCATGGGAGTAAATTCAAGGTAAGTTTTGAAGGATTTGTAAGAAATTTTTGAAGGAGCTGAGTGACACATTGTTGGCATGTAACACTAAGTCAGTTCCCTCAAAATTTCTTAGAAATCCTTTAAAACTTTACCTTACTCGACAGCCAAGTAGCTAATTCATGCTTCAACTTTGATGCACAATTTGTCTTAAATTAACTTGCAACAGCTAACAGTCGTAACAGTTGACCTCAAAACACGACTTGCAGTTTGTGGTCTGCTGTGAACGTCGATCTTAACGTCTCTATATTGAGATATGCAAATATCATTACCTATCACTCTAGGCCGTAGCCTACCGTCAGATGTCCCTATTACTGCGTCGTCCACCTGGTCGTGAAGCTTACCCTGGTGACGTATTCTATCTTCATTCACGTTTACTTGAGAGAGCTGCGAAGATGAACGATGATTTCGGAGGTGGATCTTTGACTGCCTTGCCCGTTATTGAGACGCAGGTAAAGTAGACAGTTTCTATATTGAAAGCTATGCACACTGTTGTTTTATTTATACGATCCTTGTATCATTAAACTGATTTTGCTATGGCAGACTCGAAGGCATGAAATTCAAAATTAAGGGTGGAAAATAACACAGGTTGAATGACTTTCTGAATCAACCATCATATAACATTTCTCATAACAGCAATGTCATCCTGTCGGGATCAGTGATTGGAATGTTTTATTGTCTTTTTGAAATCCCACTGTTCTCCATGCCATCCAGTCGCGATCCAGTGATCAGATTGAGAATATCCCATTGTCTTTTCATTGTTTTGAAAATCTCACTGTTCTCCATGCCATCCAGTCATGATACAGAATATTGCATTGTCTTTTCATTGTTTTGAAAATCAAGTTGATTGGCTTTCTGAATCAACTCCATAATATTTTTCTTCAAACAGGCTGGTGATGTATCCTCATATATTCCGACAAACGTTATCTCCATCACAGACGGACAGATTTTCTTGGAAACTGAGCTGTTCTTCAAAGGTATTCGACCCGCCATCAATGTCGGGTTGTCTGTAAGTCGTGTAGGATCCGCTGCACAGACTAAAGCTATGAAACAGGTAAGGTCTCGTTTTGTTATTCACGTATGAATGATGTAGCTATTGGAAAAATATAGAAAATCTTCGATGTTTCGAGCATACATGTAGATCGTGATGTGAAGTTAATAGCCACTATTCTTATATGCAAACAAAGATGTACAGTAAGACTGGTTGTTTCCATGAAGAAATATCGTTGTTTTTGCAAGTACAGTACCGAATTATACATTTACCGCAATATGTGTTATAATTTTACCCACCTAGGTTGCAGGTACAATGAAATTGGAACTTGCTCAATATCGTGAAGTTGCAGCTTTCGCCCAATTCGGTTCCGATTTAGATGCGTCCACACAAGCCTTGTTGAACCGTGGCGTCCGACTGACAGAACTTTTAAAACAAGGACAATATGGTAAGGAATTTCTCTTCTCCTCCTTGGATTTAAAATTAACCTCATATGATCAATCTTTACCTGTTAGGAATTCCTTCAAGATTTACATCATTGATTTTCATTTTAGCTCCGATGGCAATTGAAGAACAAGTAGCAGTCATCTATGCCGGTGTCCGAGGACATCTCGACAAGGTCGATCCATCGAAGATCACAGATTTTGAAGTGGCTTTCCTGAAACACATCCGAGATACTCAACAAGATCTACTCACGACGATCAGAGTCGATGGTCAACTCACTCCAGAGAGCGACGAGAAATTGAAGAAAGTCGTTACGACTTTCTTACAGACATTTGAATAAGAACATTAGAGCGTGTTTGTGAATGTTTTTCCTTAGGATGACTTTTCATGTTTTACATGTTATTGAGATAATTATTGTATTAAAACTAACAAATTTTAGATAACAGTTTTTCTGAACTATAAATTTGGATCGCAGTTCTTCTTATCCAAATGCATATTGATATTACAATGGTAAATATCACGTTATTATGATATTTTCAGATAATCGCGATTTCATTTTACAGGTCGTTCTTTATGGATTATAATGGTTTTTTGGCAATGGATTATTGTTAAAGATAATCGAATCAATAAAACAGCCGATTGAAGAAATTGCGAGATGGTATTGTTGATGTGATCAAATGACAAATGCGACTTGTTTTGATTTTTTTGGTAATTGGTACCACTATGACAAATGCGGCGTTTGTATTGACCGTCAACACGTGACCACTTCTTGGAAAGAGACATTAACTGCTATGTGAACGTCTATATTTAATCAGGATGATTAATCGATTGTTGATGACGATTAATCGATTATGATAATTCCACCTTCGTTCCATTTATCAAGCGCAGAATTAGTCCTAGAACCATATAATTATATCATAAGTTTTTGTGTTTCTTTATTGGCACATGCAGTCAACATTTCTCTGATTCTTGTCGCATTAATTTTTCCTTTATTTACATATTCGACAACTAGTAAGTGTATTGTTGAATTTCCAATTAGACAAATAGTTCATAGTTCAAACCTCGAGATCTGTCACAGGAGTGTACTGAGATGAAGATTGTTTTGCGCTTTGTTGAAACATTGATTTTTGTGCTGATTGCTCCAATTCTAGCACCTGGTTTTGCGTGTCTTCTTAGTTTCTTTGTGAGCTTCGCCGAACGTATCGAAACACTTGTGAAAGTTTAGGGGTTCCCAGAGTATGCCTGTTTGCGGGTTATGTAGTGGCATGATCCGAAACAATCTCGTTCCCAGAGTATGCCTGTTCGCGGGTTAGGTTGTGGCATGACCTAACCCGCGAACAGGCATACTCTGGGAACGAGATTGGATCCGAAACTGCAATTGCTAGATGGTATACTTCAAAATAAGGTTTCCGTTTTTATATCAATTTTTAAAATACGTTAGGATTAGGTTAGGGTTAGGGTAAGGGTTGGTATTAGAGTTAGGGTTTAGTTTTGCGTTCGGATACTTCTTTCTACGTTGTAAAAACGGAAACCTTATTTTGAAGTATACTATCTAGTGATCACCGATCGGAAACTCGAAATTGCGTGGAAACACTCGCACTTCATGCTCGTGTTCCCACGCAATTTTTCGTTTCTCCCAAACTTCCACGCGTGTTCTACTTTCTATGTTATTCCATATGATAAAACGGGGAAAATGTTTTCTAATTCTTACAGTAAATATCAATACGGAAAAAATATTTTATGTACTTTTTAAAATAGCATAGATACAGGAGATCTATGCTCGAAAGCCAGGCTCTCTACTGAGTTCCGCTTCTCTCGCAAAACCTCGATGTGTCCAAACAACACCCAAACAAGCTCCAACGTGTTTGGGAAGCAGAATTATGGTTTGCGATATGTTACAAATTTGCATTCTGTAGTCATGAATATGGATGAATTGGAAAGACAAAATGGTAAAAATTTGTGCATTTACTGAAACTTGAGGTTTAAGTACTAGATAAAACACGAGCCGAAGGCGAGAGTTTGTATATCAGATAAAGATCTGATGCAAATGTTTTAACGTGCTTACAAAACGGCCCATCTTTATGAGTTTATTGGCGAAGTAATTTTAAAAATTAATATTGTCTAAGCCGAGAAAATTAAAGCTGAAGTTTATGTAAGTCAGGACAAATCTTTATCCGATTTACAAACGTTGATTAAACATTCATTTCTTTTGTATTTTTCTTATGAATTATTAATAAGTTTTATGATGGTATTTTATGTAAGTGTTGTTTATATACGAAGTACGATGGTATACCAGCGTATAAAACAGGTAGTTTATTTTCACGCCCACCTTTCGGACAGCTGCTCCCTTATTCGGACACTTGCTTACATCAGCTTATGTCACAGAATAGATACTAGACCAGAAGGGTCACTCTTCTGGTCTAGTATCTATTCCTGTGCTTATGTAATGTAATATTCGGTCTATATGCCTTCTTTCAACTAGAAAAACTCATGATTTTTATTTTCAAATAATCTTCTCAAAGGAAAATGCTGGTTCTGTCCAAAAACTAGGCAATGAAATAAAAAAGAAAATAGGTTATAATAATAATAATAATATTTGTATTTATCCAGGATCAATACCCAAATCATGTACATTATTGTAACCCCAACACCCCCCCTCCCAACCTCGGGAAAAGGTGGGGGCATAGATTTTAATACACCCAGACTGTAACTGTTTCCCGTACCCCTGAGGCAGGTTGACCTGACTAATCTTGTCAAATCCCCCAACTCATGGGGGCTGTATACAATAGCCCCACATACCAAGGTCGGGAATCCATGACAGGAAAATACCCCATTAAGTCCGGCATAACTATGTGCCAAAAGAGGAAAAATACCCCACCTTTCCCCAAGGTTAAGGGGGGGGGGGGGTTACAATTGCATTAATTGTTGTCAATGTTAATTGTCAATATAGCTGCAAGCCTAAAGCATTTTAATTGTCAATTGGGCTGCAGCCTACAGCATTTTAAACTGTTCATGTATAGCAGAGGTGTAATTTAACATTTTATCTTGCTTGCCCGATTGGGCAAGTTGCCTTAATTGCCACAAAAAGCTGGGCATCTTTAAGTTTATGTTTTCATTGTGGGATAATTTTTTTATAGTGCATATGTACTAAATTATTCAAATTTTGTTTTTTGTGAGCCAAAGCTAGTATCTGAGGCAGTATAACATAGCCATATAGAGCAGTGGGAGAACAGGTCGACACGTTGTTGCCTTAATTAACCTGCACCCTCTACCTAGGTACCCCAGAACCATGATTGTCTGATGGCAAGTGAATTTTATTCAGGGCAACTAATTTTCATGTCCAACTTGCCCTGAGGGCAAGTGGTCAAAAAAGTAAAGTTTCACCACTGTATAGCAGGGTTTGATAAATATAAAATCCATTGTAGATACCATATAAAATACCCCTATAAAATCCATTGTAGATACCAGCATTATATTATAATTTCATTACCACGAATTCAATGTAAGAGGTTTGCCATTACTAAAGAATACCAAATTTTAACATCTGGTGTACAAAATTCGAAATTGGTATCATCAGAATACCAGCTAGACACTGCAAATCTCGAACCCTGTGTATAGCTTGTACATTCCCACAGCATTACATTAATTCTTCTTATTTCTTGTGGAAACAGAATGTTGTGGAATTGTGCCTCTTCACCGCAGGCTGCATGGTCGTATGCAGATCACACACTTATTTTGTTAGAGAGTGACAATCCGGCCATTTGAGAAGTAATATTTCAAGTCCCACTATGAGGACTGGACTAGATTTCAAGTCCGTAGTGAAGCCGAGGACTGGATCAAGTCCTCAAGATCAATCTAGTCCAGTCCTCATAGTGGGATTTCAAATATATCTCATGCGATAAATCACTACTTAAAATGAGGTGAATTAATTTTGATCTAGTCCAAGGACTAGATGAATACACTTCACCCGGTATCCAATATTATCATGTGAGCAAAATAAAGGAATATGGTTGGCGTAAATAAAGGAATACGGTTTAATTCATGAGAATTATTAATGAGATTGAAGGGGAGCAGATTTAAAAAAACTTTCCATGCCATGCTACCAAGCTTTGTTATTCATTTTTGGGTGCATGTGAAGGAATTAATTTAGCACAATTAAAACACGAGTATTGTTTGTAATTACTATTGACTCGATTTACCTCACTTTCCAGGTGCTGTGGGCAGTAGCGAAACGCAACCTCAATCGGTCGCCCCCGAGCCAATATCAAAAAGAAGAAAGCCCTGGCTAGCCCCAATTTTGTACTTTGTTACTGCTATATTTATAATTGTTTATGGCTGCGTTGAAAACATAGAAGTTCTCGTTAACCTTGGCTTAGCATTGTTGGGCGTTGTACTGGCACCTATTTTTCGTTGTTTGTGCAATTTTGTTGAAGAGCTCTTTCAGTTAATTAAAAGTCAAAACAACCAAAAAGTATCAGAGTTGTTTAAAGATTCTTTTGGTGGAATTTTGTGGAAGCCAGTCATTGCTGTTGTTTTGATCGATGTGATACCATGTGCAATGACGAAAAAGTCTTCATTTGAACTTGAAGACGTAATTTTAATCTTAAGCGGCATCGGTGTGGGCCCACTGGTAGCATACTTGCTTAAACTAAACGCACAATCCGACGTTGAGCTTTTGAGACTTCTCGAGGGAAGGGGGCTGTATCCAGCTTACACCTTGCGTGGAACTGTTATAATTATCTTGAGAAAGCTTTGCCAATATTTAGCAGAAGTTTCTCCGATGCCGATGGTGACACAAATGAACGCTCAGATCAAGATGCCAAAATGCGGTTAAGTTCAAAAAAATTGGTACTGCTTTTTTCACACAATTATAAAAGGGAAGTACTGTTGAATGATCTGGACAATCATATTTGCAAAATAACTGATAAACGCGTTGATGGATACGAATTTCCAGTTTATAGCCTGCAGTACAATGGAAATGAATACAGGCATGTTATACTTTATGCTGAGGAAGCCTTGCAAACTTTGAAGAAGATGTGTGGGCACAGTTAACTTCTTCGTGTGGATCAACTCGATCACCAAGTTGAGTTGCTTTACAAAACATTAGTATCTGAAATTCTCATTAAAGATGAATACTGCAGAAACAAATGTACACCCATATTAATTAGTGCAGCCCAAAGTTTAGAGATGGTGGACTTGTTAAACTAATAATGTCTGCGTCTCCCTCTGTATCGCCCTCCCCACATCTCCCTCTGAGTCGTATAGACACCGATCCTGTTCAAGGCATTCCTGGACGCAATCCAGATGAAAACGGTGCACTACTTCAAACTGAAAGACTCAATGAAGATGTTGAACCGCAGTTAAGGAAACGCAGGTAGGTCCCGTTTGTGTTTGGCAGGATACGCGTCCGGTTTCTTAAAGATCCAGTTGAGAGGATTAAATTTAGAAATTATATAAAACAAAACCTCTTTTCTTTGGCAAACAAACAGGCAAAAGGGAATGACAGAGAAGTTACTTGCTCTGCAACATTGTGTAGTATAGGGAGTGAACAGCAACAGCAAATTTATTTAATCAGCTTTATTTGACAAGCATGCAAATAGCCACACATTGTTGTACATAACTAGCACATACTACCACAAGAATGATAATATTTAAAAACGTGCCAAAGATGGAGAAGCACAAACGAGATCCCACGCATGGTGCTCATCATTAATTAGTCAAGACAGTACAGACAAAACAATGCGTTAATATAGAATAGAAAAAAAATGATGTGGAAGGAAAGCAAGAAGTACAGTAGATTAAGAAAGGAGAAGAGAACGACTGATATAGAAGATATTCAGTCGTGATCAATGAGTGTGAGCTAGGTAAGTCAGGAGTGTAAGCAGTGGCAGTAAGTTGGAGGTACTGTAAGTCTTGTGGAGATATGTTTTGGGTTCATGTTCTTTTAAGGAGACCAAGCATTTTGTTTGCCTTTGCAACCATCTTTAATATATAAGGGCCTCATTTCAGATCGCTAGATACAAGAAGGCCAAGATCCTTTTCGGCTTTGCATGATGATAACTCATTTGAGTCATACATACGGACTACGGTATGAGAATTTAATTGGCTTCCGTTTTCTTGTAACCGTCAACACCTTGCACTTTCCTGTGTTGAATTTCATCCTCGATTTCGTACTCCATTTCCCCAGCATGCTCAAGTTTTCTTGTAACGACTGACAGTTGTCTACTGATCTTATTTCACTGTATAATTTTGCGTCATCTGCATACAATGCGGAGCATGTACTCGATGATACATTGTCGGGAAGATCATTTATAAATATTACAAAAAGTAATGGTCCCAGAATGCTACCTTGCGGTACACCAGATGTAACAGGAGACCATGAAGATGCTGTGCCCTCGATAACAACTCTCTGCTGTCTGTCGTTCAAATAGCTTTCGAACCAACGTAGAAGAGAGCCATTTATACCATGTATTTGTAGCAGAATATCTGCTTTCTTCCACTCTCTTGCATGGAACGCCACCTGTTTCTATTGATTTGTTGAACAAACTGCAGAGGCTTGATGATATCTCCTTAGAGCATTCTTTAAGTAGACGTGGTGGCATTCGGTCAGGACCATAAGCTTTTGATGTGTCCAAGTTGTTAAGGTAACGCTCCACTTTGCATTCAGAAATTTCAATACTAGATATTTCCTCACACGTTTTTGGATTCATACGTCCAGGTTAATTGTTCTTTATTGGAAGGAAAACAGAGGCGAAGTATTCGTTAAAAAGTTCAGCCTTTTTGTTCGGCGTTCTTGCTTTAGTTACGTTGTTATAGGTGTTGAATGATGGAGCATTCCTACTGCGGAGAATATGTTTATGGTAGGATCAGAATAACTTTGGTGAATGTGTGATCGAATCTTGAACTCTTTCCAGATACTGCTGTCGCTTAACTCTAATCAAATCTTTGGTTTCTTGTGTCAACTGTCGTAATTTGCGTTTTCTAACTTCTGTTCGTTTCTGCCGATATTGCCGAAGAGCTGTATATTTCTTATATATTAGATGCTTTACTTCACAATCTATCCATGGTGGTGTATTGATGTCCAGAACAGATGTCTTAGGGACAAACTGATCTATTGTTGTAAGAAACAGGTCTTATTCATCCACATCCGAATGATCAGATATGGCGGAGTGGAGAGGGACGGACAGAAGATGTTGTCTGACAGCATTGAAATTTGCGTTTTTAAAGTCGTATATTGGTTGTCTTACTGGTTTTGCTCTTTGAAAACAAAGTTCGATGTCGAATTCGATAAGGTAATGATCAGATGGAAATAAATTAGTTGGATTTATACAGTTGACGTTAGTGATGAGCTCCAGAATATTGCAGAAAACACAGTCCAGTTTATTCCCATGCACGCAGATAATATATGCATGGTATAGTTATATAAATGATATAGTTATAAATTTATATTAATGATAAAAATATTGGCATAAATTGACGTATTTGATATCCTACTTACTTGTTGCTCGTGGCTCAAATTAAACACAATTTGGCCTATTTTTAAGGATATGCTTTCGTTTATCATAATATAAAAAGACGTTGCGATTTTTAGTTACTTTGTTGATCACCTATCTGTCAGCTAGTGACGTTACAATTACTGCCATTGGTTTATGCACTAATTGTTGATAATGAATAAAAAAATTGTTTAGTTTCACATGTATAATGTTTCTGCTAAGTCGAGGTACTATTCACAGTGATGTATACAAAATATGAACTGCGGGTCCATGGACCTGCAGGTTGCTTAATTACACCGGCAACATTAGTGAAGATTAATACTGCAGAAACAGTTGTACTCCCATATTAATGAGTGCAGAGTGAGCCTAAAGTTAATGGTGGACATGTTAAACAAATAATGTATGAATGTACGTCTGCAGAACAGAGGATTTCGCACCTCCCTCTGTGGGTCATACAGTGGACACCGATTCTGCTCAAGGCATTCCTGGTTGCAGTCAAGATGAAAACAGTGAACTACTTGAAACTGAAAGAGTCAATGAAGATGTTGAACACCAGTTAAGGAAACGCAGGTAGGTCCGTTTGTGTTTGCCAGGATTAGCGCCCGGTTTCGTATGATCAAGTTGAGAGGATTAAAGAAATTATATAAAACAAAACATGTTTCGTTGTCAAACAAACAGGCAAAAGGGAATGACAGAGAAGTTACTTGCTCGCCATTATGTAGCATAGGGAGTGAACAGCAACAGCAAATCATAGTTAATTATAAATTTATACTAATGATAATAATATTGGCATAAATTTATATAAATTTATAAATTTACGTATTTGATATCCTACCCATGCACTTGTTGCTCATGGCTCAAATTTAAAGATAATTTGGCCTATTTTAAAGGATATCAGATTTTCATGTATCATAATGTAAAAAGACGTTGCGATATTTAGTTATTTTGTTAATCACCTATCTGTCAAGGACGTTACAACCGCCATTGGTTTATGCACATGTTAATTATAAATAAAAAAATTTGTTCAGTTTCGTATGTAATGTTTCTGTTAAATCGTTGTACTATTCACAGGATGTATACAAAACATGAAACGCGGGTCCAAAGACCACCCATGGACTTGGTTGCTTTACAAAACATTAGTGTATGAAATTCTCATTAAAATGAATACTGGAGAAACAAATGTATTGCCATATTAATGAGTGCAGCCCAAAGTTTAGAGAATGGTGGACTTTTTAAACTAACAATGTATTACGTCTGCAGAACAGAGGAATGCGCACCTCCCGCTCATGTGAGTCATACGGTGGACATTCATCTTGCTGAAACTGAAAGACTCAATGAAGATGTTGAACCGCAGTTAAGGAAACGCAGGTAGGCCCGTTTGTGTTTGGCAAGATTCAGTTGAGAGGATTAAGTTTAGAAATTATATAAAACAAAACATCTTTTGGTTGGAAAACAAACAGGGAAAGGGAATGACAGAGAGGTTACTTGCCCACCATTATGTAGCATAGGGACTGAACAACAGTAAAATGTAGTAATAAATTTACAATGATAAAATTATTGGCATAAATTTATATAAATTTATAAATTGACGTCTAATTAAAAATCATTTTTTAGTTTTATGTTTTGGTTCATGCCTGATGGGGAGGGGAGGGGGGGGGGTGTTGGATGTCCTACCCATGCTGCACTTGCTGCTCATGGCTCAAACTTAATGATAATTTGGCTCATAATGTAAAAAGACGATGCGAATTCTAGTTACTTTGTTAATCACCTATCTGTCAAGGCGCCACTGGTTTACGTATCAGGAGTGTTTTATTATAGGTTTAAAGCCACGAGCGAATGGCTTTAGACCTAATAAAACACGTCCTGCGAGTTTATTAAATAATGGCTTCAAACACGACTACAAATTCACTAGATATACTGCCTTAGTATTATAGTATATTCTTTATATATAAAGAATACTAATGAGGACACGACTACAATAGATACTGCCTTATTAGTATTCTTTATTTAGTCTAAGGATAAGTAAAAAATCATGCACTTTGTGAAGAAAGCACCAAATTCACAGGAAGTGTAGACTTTAACATGATAATGAATCTTAGATATGGAGGCATCACCAAAATTGATGCTGACGCTTAAAATTTAGGATTTCTTATATAGAGAATAATACATGGGTGCGCGGAAATACCAAATTTATTTCGAGTGTTGAACATGATATGCGAACGAGTGAGATATCATGTTCAACACGAGAAATAAATCTGGTATTTCCAAGCACCCGTGTATTTTTCTGTTTATTATATAAAGGGCAATCTTTGAAAAACGATAATTTTTACAGAAAAGCGAAAATTGAAAAGCGATAATTTTCACATGTGAGATTATCATGAATAATCTCACATGTGAGATTATCACTTTTATCAGTGCTCGAAATCTCTATAAAGCACTATACTTTATATAATAAATTCTCTTATTAAACTCTAATACTATTTAAAATTGTGAAATTGCAGGTTCACGTAGAGCAATAATGACTTGCATCATTAGAAAGCTTACAAAGAACTACATATAAGACTTTTAAACGGCTGATTGATTATTCCAGTTATTGCTAAAAACGTGATAAATAGGCGAAAATCTGCCTCCTCTGCAGGCCCTCGTTGCGTCATGGGAAGGTGACGATCTGGCGAGGGCCTGCGTAATCTTGTAAAAAAAATGGCGCCGGCGTCACGTCAGCAAGAAAATTTCTACATAATCTTCAATATAAACAGGATATAAAAAAGCGGCGTGAAGCTTGTAAATTAAACTGGCGACTCTTAGGACGTGGAAGGAAGCATTTTTTAACGATAAGGTTTGTTGTCCACACCAACGTTGCACGAATAGAACTGCCTTCTTTAACGAAGCAGCTTCAAAACAACATTTATTTATTTTACAAGATTCCGCAGGCCCTCTCGAAACCGTGACCTTCCCATGACACAACGAGGGCCTGTGGAGGAGGCAGGGCGAAAATCCCGCAAAAGTCCTGGACACTAGCCCAATCCAGAGGAGTTGGAAAATCAACTGCTTTTAAAATAAAAAAAACTGCTTTTAAATGCCTTATTATATGTAGTTTTTCGTAAGCTTTCTAATGATGCATGTCATTTTTGCTATATGTGGACCTGCAATTTCACAATTTTTAATAGTATCTATAGGAGATTAATAAGAGAATATAAGAAATCCTAAATAATTAATAAGAGAATATAAGAAATTCTAGATATATATTATGTTAAAGTCTACACTTCCTGTGAATTTGGTGCTTTCTTCACAAAGTGCATGATTTTCTCAAAAATCTGTGCATATCCGCTGGACTAATATAAAGAATAATAATTAGCAGTGTTTTATCAGGTTTAAAGCCACTGCACGTGACATGTTATGGTTGACATGATTTGTCAATAAGCTAATGAATTATTAATGAATGTATATGTAATGTGAAAATCTGCTAAATCGTAGTACTATTCACAATATGTATACAAAACATGAAATTCTCATAAAGATAAACACTGCAGAAACAAATGTATTGCCATATTAATGAGTGCAGTCTGCTGGACTTGTTAAACAAATAATGTATTATACGTCTGCAGAACAGAGGAATTCGCACCTCCCTCTGTGGGTGATACAGTGGACACCGATCCTGCTCAAGGCATTCCTGGTTGCAGTCAAGATGAAAACAGTGCACTACTTCAAAGTCGCAATGGCAATGAAGATGTTGAACAGCAGCTAAGGAAACGCAGGTAGGTCCGTTTGTGTTTGGCAAGATTAAGAATTAAGTCTAGAAATTATATAAAACAAAACATCTTTTCGCTGTCACTCATACATACACGCAGGCAAATGGGAATGACAAAGAAGGTACTTGCTCACCATTATATAGCATAGGGAGTGAACAGCAACAGCAAAATTTAGTAATAGAATTATATTCTAATGATAAATCTATTGGTATGATAAATTTATATGTAGTATTTAAAAAACGAGAAGAAGTGTTTATCATATTTAAAACGCGAGGCCGAGCGTTTTAGATATGATAAAACGCGAGTTCGAGTGTTTTGAATAGCTTAAAATACGACTACAAAAGAATACTAATTAGGATGAACAATTATATAAAGAATACTAATGAAGATGAGTTTTATCAGATATAATGTCACTCCACGTGACATATTATAGCTGACATGATTTGCCACAAGGTTTATGAATTTTTAATGAGTATTTTAAATAGTACATATAAGTTGAAAATGTTCTCGAGTGTGTGTTTCATAATTTCCATACCCAGCGCAAGCAGAAAGATAACGTCTGCCGCGGTTGGGTCTTGAACCCTCGACCTTCGAATTACTAGATCGACGCTCTACCAACTGAGCTACACGGTCAGACGGATTTAAATTATTTGATGCTATTGTTCACTCGGTAATAACCGCCATTGGTTTATGCACTTGTTAATAATAAATAAAAAATTGTTTAGTTTTATTATGTTTTTTTTATGTAATGTTTCTGCTAAATCATAGTACTATATTCACAGGCTGAAGAGTGAAGAAAGATGTTGAAGGCTTTTCTTATCCAAATGAAAAAAGTGCGCAAACTGTATCACCGGAAACTGTTAGACGACTTAAATTGTTCCACTTAAATAAGTTAAAAGAACGCAGGTAGGTCCGTTTGTGTTTGGCAGGATAAGCGCCTTGTTTCTTATTATTAAGGTTAGAAATGATATAAAACAAAACATCTTTTCGTTGGCAAACGAACAGGCAAAAGGGAAGGAATGACCATTATGTAACATAGGGAGTGAACAGCAACAGCAAAATGTAGTAATAAATTGAATTTTATACTAATAATAAGTTTATTGGTATAATTTTTCATAAATTGACGTCTAATTAAAAACTTCTGAGTTTTATGTTTTGGTTCATGCCAGGGGCGGATATCTCACAAAAGATGGGGGGGGGGGGTTGGATTTCCTACCTACTTGTTGCTAGAACATGGCTCAAACTTAATGACAATTTGGCCTATTTTAAAAGATATCGGGCTTTTATGTATCATAATGTAAAAAGACGTCGTTGCGATTTCTATAGTTACTTTGTTAATCACCTATCTGTCAGGGACGTTACAATCGCCATTGGTTTATGCACTTGTTAATAATAAGTAAAAAATTATTTTGTAATGTTTCTGTTAAATCGTAGTATGACAGGATGTATACAAAACATGAACCGCGGGTCCATGGATCACCTTGTGTACGCGGTCCATGGACTACCCGTATACGTAGACCACCCATCATTTTCTATAATTAAGACGCCAAATTTTACTTTTGTGTATAAAACAAGCATTACAGCCTTAACACGAGAGTTGCTACATTTGCATTTGCCTTGGCAAGCCCCTTTCCACTAAATCATACTCTCGCTGACTTAACTAGTCCCTTGTTGGATCGCCCGAGACCTTTGCAATATAAATTCTTCAAAATAACAGCAGGATACAAACATTAACGCCCGTATTCTAAAAGCACATGCACTCACACTGAATGAGTGGAAGTTCAATCTGAGCTTCTCTCGAGTGTCATTGCTGTTTTTGAATAGCTGGAGAGTTAGTGTCATTCCTTACTATGTGACTACTCACCCTCCAGCTATTCAAAAACAGCATTGACACTCAAGAGAAGCTCGGATTGAACCTCCACTCATTGAGAGAGAGTGAGTGAGCTTTTAGAATACGGACGTAAAGGTCTGCCCGAATCGCGTCCCGGCCCTTCCCTGTCGAGTGTCGTAAACGGAGAGAGTTATGATTTTACGTTTTTATGATCAAAAAAGCATCGGAAGAAATCGGGTGTTACCTTTGGGGTAAGCGGGCGAGGTTTGGGCATGGCTAAACCAAGGTGTCTGAAATCACTATAACTTTACGACATGCAGTAACAACTCTAAACCATGCAGTTTCGATACGAACGGCCAGTTAAAATATGGTTATGTACAAAAGTTTACACTATAATATCACACTATGTTCGTTTCTTTTGCAGGAAACTCCACACTTCCCGGGGACCAACAAGCGATAATCCTCCTGACGGAATTGGTTTATCAGACCTGGAAATACCTCCTGATAAATTAGACTGGTATTTGTTATAATATTATAATATTTGTAATTGTTATTATGTCAATTGTATCAATTGGACTAGTCAGTATTTGTTATAATATTTGTAATATTTGTATTTATAATATAGCATTTGTAAATTCTGAACGCTGATTGGCTAGAGCTCGTGTTAACTCAATGTCAACACGGAAACGTCGAAAATTTCTTTCTTTGTATTTCTTTGTGCTATATTATAAAACAAATATAAAACATTCCGTGTTGATATAACTGTATATCAACACGGAAAATGTTTTATATTTGTTAAATGCCAATTGGGACGGCGCAAGTCCTGTTCCTTTCCCCAGATACACCTGTATATCGTTTTTGCATGTAAGTTGTCTTTAAGTATAGAAATAACGTATGTCTGAGGTATACTCACTTTAAAGAACAGTCTAAATCATAACTGATTCCTTGAATGTTAGCCTGTAGGTTTCGTAGTTCAACCGCTATGGTAAATTGTAGTATTTTTGTACTTTTTCATTCTCGTCCCCAGAGCCATTTTTACTTGGTCACTCTTTGAAAATTTGACTCTGGATTAGACGACTATTTAAAGAGAAAGATCTGATTGGCTTCTCGGAGAACTGCTATTTCCCAGAAGTTGAGCAGCTTTTGCTAGGCAAAAATTATTCTATTAAATACTTCGTTTCTTCGTAATACTTGTCTGTGAAAATTGTTACGGGTACTGAACGTCCCAATTGACCATTTGCGTAATAGACTAAATTTTGATCTCAACAAAAATTTCATTATAGCTTGAAAGAGCATCACAAAATTAGTAATATTCCAAAGTTTCGTTGCAAAATGTTGTAAAATGCGGAAAATATAGCCTGGCGAAATTTGCAATTTTCAGTCATTTTAGATTACAAACCGGAAATTGACAGCCTCGAAGGG